AAAGGAAGTTTTGCAGTTCCGTGTACCATGCCCGTGGTGCTTGCTTGAGGCCATATATGGCTTTGTTGAGATGACATACGTGTGTTGGGTTATCCAGATCAACGTAACCCGGTGGTTGCTCCATATACACTTCTTCAGTGAATGTCACATGAAGAAAAGCGTTATTGACATCCAATTATTGAATCAGCCAGGAGTTTGCTACAGAAATGTCGAGAACAAGCCGGATCATTGTAGATTTGATCACCGGACTGAACGTATCAGTGTAATCTTGACCATATTGCTGATTGTATCCTTTGGCTATAAGACGAGCTTTACATCTGTCAAGAGAACTGTTAGATAAGAATTTATTCTTGTAAACCCACTTACAGCCGACAACGTTGAAGTAAGGTTACCTAGGGACCAGGTCGAATGTCCGGTTGATGGCGAAGGCATCAATTTCATGAGACATTGCTCCTCGTTATTTTTCGTCTTTAAGAGCTTGAATGAGTGTCGTCGGGATTATTCGGGAAAAAGCGACAAAGTTGTTGTATTTAGGGTTTGGCTTGAGAATTTTGTTGTGGAGTCGAGTTGTCATGGGTGGTAAAATCGTCGGTGAAGGGTATCTAGGGCATTTGTTGTTTCATCAGGATGGAATATTGGCGGAGGTGAAGGGTGGGTTAGTGTTTGTTGGGTTTGGTGGTTGGGCAGTATGGTGTGGGTGGGCTTCTTGTGGAATAGTTGGGCTGGTCGTAGGATTAATTTGAGTGGAGTAAGATTGGGCTAAATGTGAAGGTTGTGGGCCTGAATTGGGATCTGTCTGCTGTGTTGTTGCCAAAGGTTGGGTGTTTAACGAAGATGAATCTAGTGTTGATGATGAATCTGTCGGCGAAGTTGACGATTATTCTTGCTGGTGAGAATCTGACATCACGGGTTCCATTGTTTGAGGCTGTAAGAGTGGCGGTTGGTCTGGGGTTGTGGAACGCGATGGAAGGAGAGGGATAGAGGAGATGATCTGGAAGGATTGAGGTTCTGTGGGTGAGGCATATTTGTATGGTCTTGATGATTCTTTGAACGGAAAGTTTTTCTCGTCGAACCGGACGTGACGAGAGGTGTATATTATTCCAGAGCTTGGCTGAAAACACAAATAGGCACTTTGAGTTGGGGAATAGCCAATAAATACACACGGAGTAGAGCGATCTTCGAGCTTACTGGTGTTGTAAGGGCGGAGCCAAAGGAAGTAGAGGCAACCAAAAACCCGAAGCTTGTAGTAGTTTGGTGGTGTGATGAATAGCTTTTTGATCGGTGTCTCCATGTCAATTACTAGTGTTGGTAGGCGATTGATGAGGTAAGTGGCGGTGGTTAAGGCATACGACCAGTAGGTCTTCGGTATACCAGCGTGAGTGAGTATTGCCAGCCCGGTCTCCACTACATGACGATGTTCCCTTTCAGAGACGCCATTATGTTCTGGTGTGTGTGGTGGGGAGGTGAGATGAGAATGCCGGTTTCAGATAGAAAGGAGCGAAGGGCGATGAAACTCCACCGTTATCGGAGAAAAGCGTTCTAATTTTTGTGTTCAAGCGATTTTCAACAAGTGCTTTGAAAGCAATGAACATAGCCCGAACTTGTGACTTCAGTTTTGACGGATAAAGCCAGGTATATCTGCTGAAGTGGTCCACTAACACGAGGTAGTACTTGTAATTGTCAACAGAGGTGATGGGAGAACTCCAAAGATCGGTGAAAATATATTGTAAGGGGCTAGTATAAGTGATAGTTGTTTGGGAAAAAGGTAATTTGTGAGTTTTATTGATGGCACAATCTGAGCATAGGGAATGTAAAGATACAGATTGAGAGCAAGGTAACGAGAAATTTGAAAGAACAGTTTTGATAATTGTAGGTGAGGGATGACCGAGGCGGTAATGCCAGTCGGTCATAGATGGTTTGGACATTGTGGAGGCAAAGAAGGAGGTAAGGGTTGTGGGAGAGGCTGGCCACTCATACAGCTTATCCTTGGTCTTGCCTTGGATTAACGGGACCCCCGAGTTCAGATCCTTTACCTAAAAATGAGCAGGGAAGAATTCAATGGAGACTTTGTTAGCATTGCAAAGTTGGTATATGGAGATGAGATTCTTCTTGATATTGGGTACGCAAAGAACACTATTGAGTTTTAAATCACGAGATTGAGAGGATAAAGAGAGGGAACCAGTGTGTGTGATAGGCAATCTAGAACAATCACCAATGAGGACTGCATCGTTGCGATGATACGGTTGGTGTAGGGAGAGGTTATGAAGATCACTCGTCATGTGGTGGGTGGCACCACTGTCCATTAGCCACGCATCAGAGGTAGCAGGAGAGGAGTATGCGACATTTGCTCGGGGTTGCCAAGGTTAAAATGGAGAAGGGAGAAGACCTTGCGGAGAGCGAAGATGCTGTTGTGAGAGGTGAGAACATCTTTTGGCATTATGACCAAACACTCCACACAATTGACATTTCCCTTGGTATCTTTTGGTTATACGATTGTCAGGCCTTTAATGCTGGTAAGACTGTGTATTGTTGTTTCTCCAGTTGTTGCTTGAGCGGTATTGTTGTTTTCCATGCGATTAATGTGAAGGAGTAGATGCTAGATTAGCAATTACGGGACCAGCAGTGGAGATGTGAGTGGAGAGGAGCTTAGCTTCCTTGGTAAGGAGTTTTTCATGAACCTCTGTGATAGAGGGAGGAGCATCACGACTTTCGACTTCATCAACAACAGACTTGTAATCTTCAGGTATCCCTTCAAGAATATATTCGATCTGATCTTCATGTTCGATTAGTTTTTCAAGAATCGCAAGATGATCAAAGCGAGTTGTTAAGCCTTAAAGGTACTCATTGATTGATTTCTCTCCCTTTGAGTATTGTTTTAGTTGGTGCTTGAGCTGCTTAATGTGGCCTCTACTTGGCTTGGCATAAGTAGCAGCGATTGTCTTCCACATCTCCAATGACGTGTTTGATTTAGTAACAAGAGGTTGAATGGAAGGGTTGATGGTACCAAGAAGGGCACTAAAGATGAGTTTTTCTTGTCGCTTTCACACCGTGAAGTCAGGATTTGGTGTTAGTTGACCATTGGTGAGGAGAGTTGGAGGCGGAGATGGGATTGATCCATTAATGTGGGCAGCAAGTTCGTATCCATCAAAGAGTGCATGGATTTGGATGTTCCAAATCATGTGGTTGGTGGATGTGAGTTTGGTGATATTAGACATATTAATGTGAAGAAGGGAGGGGGTGATGGCTTCGGCTGGGGCAGCCATGGAGTTTCGAGAAGGAAGAAGAGAGAAAGAGGAGATGCGGCAGAGAAATGTTTTTTTAGGGTATCGCTTATGGCTCTGATACCATGTAGGAGATGTAATTTGATATATTCATAATGAATCGATTACATTGTGCTTTAGACAAGAGAGGAGAAAGACCTAGAATGATGTAATTACAGAAATTTTCTAAAACAGAGTAATGAGATATTCATGTATTAAAGAGGATTGATACACATATCTCTAACAGATCTAGCCCATCATTCATCAAATAATCACAGGTTAAACATGGCATAAAAAAAGTTATCATTATTACTCAATAATTCATGTTGACATAAATGAGTTAATGACATCAATAAAATACTATCTTTAATTCCAAAATGAACTTAATTACTGTGCTTTTACATGTCGAAACGTAACAGGTGATTGAAAATCCAACTCTCATATTATTTTTTCTCTATTTGTTTCTGCTGTTAGTTCTGTTTCTGGTAATTCACAAATATTATCTGCTTTCATTATCAGTTTCTCTTTTGGAAAATAATAAGAATGTGAGGTGGTTTAAAAATTAAATAAAAAAAAGTCATAATTTATTGTTTTGATATGTGAAAGCACACATGGACTTAAATTGTCAGAACTTAAAAGGAGAAATCTAAGAGCCTAAATTTGGTGGATTCAAGTTAGAACTTGTCACAGTGAGAAGATTAAACTGGGAAATTTAAGCGGATGTCTTTGGTAGCTTTGTTAATTAAAGTTATTGTTGTTTTCTTGATTATGGACTGATTCTGTGCTTCGATGATGATAGAATCAAATTAAATTTGGACAACGCAAAAGTACAGTAGAAACTCTATAAATTAATAATCAATAAATTAATAAATTCGATAAATCAATAATTTTGCTCGGTCCCGAGTTAGACCGATTCAAAATTTAATACAAATTGATAAATTAATAAAATAATAATTTTTTTGAAAATCTATATAAAATATAGTCCCATTAGAATCATAAATTAATAAATATCATATAAAATAATTTTATATAAATATATAATTATGTTAATCTTTAAAAATATGAATATATTGTTATTTTTATATTAAAATTGAAACATTTTTATCATTTATCTCCAATTTTATGATAAAATTTTTGAAAAAATATTATAAATTTTAAAGAATTTTTTAATTAATTATTCATAAAAATTATTTTTATCTAAAATTGACAAATTAATAACTTTATAAATTATAAAATATCAAAGTTCCAATATTATTAATTTATAAGATTTCTACTGTATATATATGAAAAAGCTTGAATTAGTTTCCATTGACTTTTCTTTCTGAATATACAAATTTTGTAGCCTCAGTGGCTTAAGATGTTAAGGATAGAGACTCTATATTTGATCATAGACATTGGAGGCTTTCAATCTGAGAAGACCTTGAAAATAGAAGATGTTCAGATCTTAGAGTCATGCATTCAAGATCTTGAAGATGGACTTGAATCTCTCTCTAGGTATTTGATTAAATGCAGAGTCTCAATTCATATATATATATATATATATATATATATATATATATATATAGATATATATGAGGGAAAACGTAATTACTTTGGGACCACGTCTCATAGTAAAATGCATGATCTTAAAGTAAAAAGAGATAAATAAATCAAAGAAAATGCACACATATAAAAGCTCGGGATGATGCGCACACCGTCTAGCTTATCCCATACGTTTCTTTCAAACTTTTCAATTTCCTTTTACTCCTTCTGAAACAACATTTCATCAACTATATTTGGTTCCATGACATCCACTTGCTTTGAAACATCAATAACAATCTTCTCAATCATCTTCCCATCCTCATCCCTGACACAATTAAAAAAAAATAAGAGTCTCCATTTAAATGCTGTACTAAAACTGCTAATGAAGTTCTTACAATTAGAACCAAAACCAATCAAAAAGTACTGATGCATAAGAGATTTAACTACAAACCAGTCATGGGAAGATTCACCGACTATATCGATAATGTCTGTCAAAGCTCTCATCCATCTCATCTCTGGCTTTTCTACTTTCCCCAAATAATTTCCCACCAAGCTCTTTCCAAATGTTTTGGTCTGCTTCCTTACATCAGATGGATCCACTTCATAGTAAACTGGTATCACTCGGTAGTCCCATGTCTCTTTTGTGGCATCTCGGATCCACGCTAGGATAGCCGGGATGGGCCATGGTCGGAATGGAAATAAACTTGCCCAGCAAAAATCAATTAATCCGTTCCATGGTCCGAAAAGAAGGGTTAAGTTCGAGAAGAAAAGGACTTAACCGGATATTGGGAAAAAACATAGAAAAAGGTCGAAAAAAAGATACAAGTTACCTCACGGAGTTCAATCGAGCTGAACTGAGCTGAAGGTCGAGCTAATCTAGCTGAGCCAGCTGACGGGAAGCTCAACTTAGCTGGACTTAGCTCACGTTAGTTGAGTCAGCTAGTCGAGTGTTCTGCTAGCTATCCGGGGAGTGAAGCTAGCTAAGTTAGCTAGCTGGACGGACGGAAGATGAGTTCTCGGATAAATCTCTGAGGCACGTGCCAAGTGTGCGAGATGGTTTTATATCGAAGCAATATGACCGTTGGTGGAATGGGATGTGGCAACCATTCGTTTATTGATGCGGTTATGGTCGAGATCTTATAAATAGATCCTCTTAGCCATTCGTGCGGGACACACATGCTTTTAACGGATATTTTCCGAGAGATTCAGAAAAAAAACATCCGAAAGAAAGAAAAGTTCATCGAGAGAAAAAGGGAGAACTTCCGATCGTTCCTCGGCGATAGTCATAATATGGGAGATAACGTCGGATAGTGTGGGTCGTTCTCAGGAGAAAATTCGTCCGGAAGAAGGGCTTCGGAGGATGGAGACTTCTACGGAAATCAAACGGGAGAAACCCGTCAATTCTCAGGAACCGTCGGCGAAGGTGCGTGATTTGTCCCGGAGATAGCCGAGGGGATTCATGACTATCGGTTTTACCGAGAAAGTCTTCGGATCGGTTAGAAAACCCTCGGCAACACTTCTCTTCTCTCGGGTTAAACTCTCGTTTCTGTATACCCGGGCGTGAGAGATTGTTTGCGATCGATCATGCGCGGGAAAGGCGTGATTATGGCCGATAACCATTCATGGCCTGACTAGTCTCTCGGGTAACTCCGGATAATCGAACGGTCCGCGGACAGTCGTGATTGACTCGCACCGTTTTCGGCTATATCCGAGAGAAAAATCCCGTAGGTTCGGATTAGCCGGGAAAGTAAGGGGATTTTTGAGAATAATAACTAAGGCATCGGAAACTTGCATTATTGCCTTGATCATATAAGAATGTTAGGGCGAATTCGCATATCCATTGAGAGAATGGATTACTTACGTTTTGTTGGCTATTTCAGGAAAAGAAAGTGACCGTGGGAAAGAAAAAACTTAGGCACGCGAGACTAGGCAAGGCGGATGGGTGGAAGAACAGTCTGGATAGTTAGGATCGATCATTGTAATAGCCTATAGTGCAAAACTCTAACCTTGTATCAAATCCTACTTGTTTTATAAATAAAATCCAGTTGTTTTCGTTCATATCTGCATATTGACTCTAAACTCTTATGAATCTCAGAATTACTCATGAAATGAACTTGTTTAAAGAATAAAACCCTTAAAACGGATTGAAAGGCTTGGTTTACTTAGTAATCCGGGCGTGGAATAACCTCTCGGACTTAGTAGCCGGGATGGGGTGTTTCATCTTTCCTCCAAGTTAAGATCTCCACCAATTCGTTCAAGCACCTACTTGAAGAAACATAGTTCTTCGATAGACTGACAACTGATATCTTTGATTCTTTTATGGCTTGTGTGACCTTAGAACGTCTCATCGACTGGTCACCCATTAATCCACCATGTACTACAGTGATTCCAGTCCATTTAAACTCCTTGATTAAGTAGCTGACGAAGGTTCTTCTGACATCCTCACAGAAGCTCAAGAAAACGTGGTATCTCGGACGATGAGACAAAGAAGATGGAGACAGAAAAGGCTTATGAGCAGCCACCTGTTGCTTGGTCTCTGACAAGATCTTCCTGTCGTGCTCCTACAAGAAAATCAATCTTATCGAATCATTATACGCAAAACAAGTAATCATATAGCTAGCTTTCAAGAGAAAAATAAAAAGAAACAAACAAATGAAGAAACCATTTCAGTGTCTTTTGATCGTGAAAAGCTTTGTTTTCGCTTCTTGTATGGTGGTGACACATACGAAGAAATCTCAACGTTGTCCAAGACAGTAGCCGGTCGCCTCAAGTTAAAACTTGTTTGTTCTGTTTTTGTAGTAATTACATCTACTCCACATTCTGTAACAGTGCAGTAATCATCAAGAAGCCTGTTCTGCTCGTTAACAGTATCAAATTGAAATACAACTAAATCATCCAATATGTCATGGTCATTCCCTTCAGCAGCAGCACCTGGATGCATTGAGACATCACAGAAGACAAACATGTGACTTTTTGGAACTTTTTGGGCAACTTCCTCTGTAGTCCAACAATAGAAAATTGTCTCAAGTCGACGTGAGATGCCTTTCTTGTTTTTCCATCTGCATACACACCTAATGCCAAAACCAGCAGCATTGTAGGAGCCATCCCAATACGCAACTACAACTGATATTCGAAACCCTAAAAGAGTTTTTATATGAGGAGTTAACTGTATCTTCACTGATGAACTCCGTTGCAAGTGAAAGATGGAATTCAGACCAGTGAATGCTGGAATAGAGAAACTGATAACTTGTGCTGTGATGAGCTTCTGTTACAGCAAGACAAGATAAATAAGATATACATATGACAATTGTGGAGAGAGATCAAGAGAGAGAGAGAGAGATAGTAGGTACCTGTGTATGTTCTCTGGCCATGTGAGCTACACTAGCGTCAAAAATCTCCTTAACTAAATCTGAAGAAAGATTAAAACAATTGCTGAATGTGCAATGTCTTGGAAACTTCTCGAAGCTCCTTTGAATATTCTTCAGAGACACGCAACCATGTGCATTCAAATACTCTAAACTTTGGGGAAGCACTGGGAGTGATTTGAGGTTTTTGCAATGACATAATATAAAACTTTCCAAATTACAAAGCTCCTTGATGCTTTCAGGAAGCTTGCTAAAGCCGTTTCTGCTGAGATCCAATGTCTTGAGTGAAGGAAAATGACCTATCTCTTGAGGTATATGTATGTCCAATAGGTATGCATTACTGAGACACAAAGAGACCAATGTGTAGATACTTGACACCAAGGAAAAAAACAATGAAGAAGGCAGCTTCGATTGATATGGCGTGGCCAGAAGTGATGTAAGCGTGAGTAAAGATTTGGAGCCATTCTTTTTCCTTGGCGTCACATGAAATGTTCTCCAGTTCTCCCATACTAAGATGACATTACATGGAGGAGGCCCACATAACATCACTTTATCAGTCCCATCTATATGAAGTTGTCCCATGTCTTGAAGTGAGAAACCCATAATATAATCCAGCTCTGAGCAGCCATATAGCTCAACTCTTATTAATGATTTGGAGAATCCCATTTGCAGATGTTGCAACCTTTTGCAATGACTCAAATCTAGTGAAATCAGATCAGTGAGATCCTCAAATGACGATGGCAGTTTCCTAATGGGTGTCTCAGCTAGATTTAAAAACTTAAGGCTCCGTGGAAGATCTTGGATATCCTCTAGGTCTAAGCAGCCAGCTAACGTTAGCGTTTCTAGAGAATTTAAGTTACCCATTCCCATAGGCATGTCTTGAAGATTTTTGCAGTTCTCTGCATCGAATTGAATACAACAAGTTCTCTGAGATGACATATTGACGATGGCACTTCTCTTATGGCGGTCTCAGCAAGGTATAGCTCTTCCAGGTTCATTGGAATATCTTGAATACTCTCAAGCTTTGAGCAGCCAGTTAGCATGAGCTGAACAAGAGAGGTCAAGTTACTCATTCTCATGGGCAAGAGTTGAAGCCTTTTGCACTTAGTTAAATCCAATACCTCAAGTGCAGTGAGACAACTGATTGACGATGGCATTTCTCTTATCGCGGTCTCCGAAAGATTTAACTCTTTCAGGTTTCTTGGGAAAATATGAATCTCTTCGAGCTCTGAGCAACCAGAGAGATCAAGAACTCTGAGAAAATCTAAACTCTGGATATGAGGTTGACAATCTTTTTGATTCAAGCAAACAAGCCTGTCTTGATCTTGGCTAGATCCTGGGGAGAGCCTCACACTTGGTTTTAGTAGTTGTTTTATACTAGTTCCACTAAGATACAATGCCTCAATATTCGGTGGAACCTCTTCAAAGCTTTTGATCTCCACACAACCAGAGAGATTAATAACTCGGAGATGTTGTAGATGACTCGTTGCTGGAAAACTCTGAAATCTTTTACAACCTTGGAGATCAATTACCTCAATATTTTGAGAAATTTGAAAATCGTTAATTTCAAGTAGCTCTTCGGAATGAGAAAGCCTAATCGTCTTTAGCATCTTGAGATTATGAAAAAGGTGCAAAATAGATAACAAAAATGTTATGTTCCAATTCAAAACTAATTTGGTTCATGTCCTACTTGTATGTATTAGTAATTTAGTATAAGTCTCATCTCACGTCCAATATGAGATTTCTAGAAATTAAAACTGTTGCAAGTATAGTATGGGTGTAATTAAGACGTGAAACCAAGGTTTCTTACCTTTATTTCTCCCCATAGTTTCTGAAGTTTACTATAAGGCATGTTGAGTTCAACAAGGTGTCTAGGATCAAAATCACGTGGCAATGATTGTAGAGGGTAATACTCCCAGTGGAGTAACCTTAGCCCATTCGGAAGTGACTCAAGAGCTTTGCGAATGCGAAGTCCTTGATGATTTTTATTGTTGGAACTATAAATCTTTAGAAATCTAAGATTATGCATATTCTTGAAAGCATTAGCTTTGACACAAAAATCCAAGTTAGATATATCTAGAAATATGGTTTCAGTATCTTCAAAACCCTGAAAACACAAGAGAGGCCAATTAATCAAACAAAAATGCTACAAAGAAAGCACCAAATTTTACATATCAAATATTTTCATAACATACGTTATATTTTCCAGTGGAGTTGGTCTCTTCATCTTATAGCAGAAGTTTAATGATTGAAGCGTCCCATAGTCTGAAATGCCTCTCGAGCTGTACATTTTCTTCATTGGAAATTTCCTTGCCAACGTCCTGGATCAGATTATGCATTTGTATCTTGTTTTCTAAAATAGTCACAAGACATTTCTCCACTAGAACATGTATGCCAACATGTGGAAAGAAACCACACCCTTCAAAAAGTTGCATCACGTAGTCAGCATTTTCTCCACTAAAGAAACAAGCAATGTCTAGAAACATGGTCTTCTCATTGTCATTAAGTTTATAGTAGCTTTTCTTGAATGTTTCCATAATCAAAGTAGGATGAGTTTGATTGAGCCTAAGTGAAGATGCAATATTTTTGTAGAGCTGCATAAACAAAACCTGCAAGAGAAAAGGAAATCAGTTAGAAGGATCAAAGCTTGTAAGCTTAAGGGAAAAAAGAAAATCAACAAAGAAAAGGAAATCACAAGATAATAACAAAAAGGAAATTGTTCTTATCTTAGGATTAGAAAATTGTAAAAGTCATTGAGTCTATGGTTATAAATAGATGTTCATGGCTTCTTTAGAAAATTAGAGATTAAGAATTTGAGTTTTCTAAAGCTAAAGGTGTTTTGGGTTTTCTTGTAAGAGAATTCAATTAAGGGGAGATTAGATTTTTTTTGAGAGAGAGACTTGTAAGTTCTCTAACATTGGTTTCTTGTAAGTTACCTTTGGGTTAATTCTAATTGACAACTTGTTTGAGAAATCTCTGTGTTAAATACTATCTCTAGAAGTTCTTGCTTTTTCAATTGGTATCAGAGCAGGAACCTGCACTTATTTTCGGGTGTGATCCTGCGACAAGATGGAGAATTCTAGAGAAGTTGTGCTGGTGAAACAGACGGTGCTGAACAAGGCAACATACGGATGGTGGAAATCAAAGATGACAGCAACGATTAAAAGTATTGATGAAGATGCATGGACTGCAGTTGAAGAAGGATGGTCACCTCCGACAAAAGTGGACAAAGAAGGCAACACAATTCCAAAACCTAAAACTGAATGGACCGTATCAGATAAATTGCAAGCAAAGTGGAATTCAAAAGTCCTATGTGAAATCTTCAAATCTGTGGAAATCAAGCAATTTGAATTAATTCAAAGCTGCAAATCTGCAAAAGTTGCTTGGGAGATTTTGCAAAGTGTGTTTGAGGGAACCGAGACAGTTAAAAGGAGTCGACTTGATCTACTTGCTTCTAAATTCGAAAATTTAAGAATGGAAGAGCATGAGACCGTTGAAGAATTCAGTGCTAAGATGTGTGCTATTGCGAATGAAGCTGAAGTACTGGAAAGAAATACAAAGATAGCAAGCTTGTCAAAAAACTCCTAAGATGTCTTCCCTCTAAATTCGCTGCTCAAAAGACATCTATGAGGGTCTCACTAAACACATATACTCTTAAATTTAAAGATGCTGTAGGGATGATTGAAGCATATGAGATGGAGTTAGCTGCTGAAGAGCCAAACAAAACCAAAAGCATTGCACTTGCTGTCACAGAAGAAAAGAAAGCAGAGAATCTTGAGGAGACAGTAGCAATGTTAGTCAAGAAATTTACAAGAGGTCTAAGAAAAGAGCAAGGAAACAAGCGATTTGGATCAAATTCTAAAACATTCGAAACTGAGAAAAGCAGCAAAAAATCTGATTTTCAGTGCTTTGAATGCAAAGGATATGGACATCTGAAATCTGAGTGTCCAACTGCAAAAAAAAGGGAGATAAAGTGCTTTAAATGCAAAGGTTTTGGTCACACTCAGATGGAATGTGTAAATAACCAGAAAGCTAGAGGAGAACGTTCATTCATTGGAATAGAAGATAGTGATTCTGAGGAAGATGAAAGTGAAGAAGATTTGAGTAACTTTGTTGCATTTATTGGAGAAAGCGATGACATTGAAGAAGATGAAGCCTTTAAAGACGAAAAAGAAGCTGAGAATAGAAACAGAGATGACGGGGAAGAGTATGACTCAACAGATGATGAAAACGAAGTTGAGATGAAACCTGAGTACAAAGAAATCTGTGACACCTTGATCAAAGTAACTAAAGAGAACGTTATCTTAATCAGAGAAAAGAGTAGTCTTAAAGCAATGGTGGACAGGTTGGAATTTGAGCTAATTGAAGAACGAAAGAAGTCACAACAAGTGCAGATGGATCTTGATGAAAAACTTAAACAAATCAGAATGCTCAACTCAGGAACCAAAGAACTTGACAAGATTTTAACAGTAGGAAGGACTGAAAAAACGCATACAGGACTAGGATATCAAGGATAGCAAACCTATGTTTGTAAGTGGAGGAAGACACGAAGATGAAGCATGTTCATTCGAAAAGAACAATCATCATACTCAAGTTCAAAAACAACATTCATCTCAGTTTCAACAATCAAGAAGATCAGGTTGCTATTACTGTGGCAAGTATGGGCATATCAAAGCTCAATGTTATAAACTTCAAGAGAGAATAGAGAAACTGTGGAGACAAAGGAAATTTACCTGGAATGGATGGGGAAATCAGTTCTGGGTAAAGTCAAGAGATCTTTATGGAAATTCCTATTCTTGCAGACAAGAGAATAATCTTCGGTGCAACGCTGCAATCATATCCGAAAATTGTCCCTACATGAGTACAGAAGACATATCAGAAGAAGAAAAAGAGCTACTATGGGATCAAATTCCTATATCAGATTCTGAAGATGAGGAAGAATTAGAATTCAACATTTCTAATGCATTGATGGCTATAGAAGAAGAAGAAACTGGTGAATGGTATTTTGATAGTGGATGCTCACGACATATGACAGGAAGAAAAGAATGCTTATCTGAATTCAAGGATATTACCAAAGGCAAAGTTACATTTGGTGATGGTGTTAAAGGAGGCATTAAAGGAAAAGGCGTGACACAAGGTTTTGATCAACCAGCCTTGACAAACGTGTATTTTGTTGAAGGATTAAAAGCAAACCTGATTAGTGTAGGTCAGCTATGTGATCAAGGACTCAGAGTGCTTTTCACCAGATCTGATTGTTCTGCTTTAGATGATGCAGGAAGAAGTGTTTTAAGAGGGTTGAGAGCTGGAAACAACTGCTATATGTGGTGATCCTCTGATAAGTGTATGAATGCAAGAGATGACCTGCAGTTATGGCACCAAAAGTTAGGACATATGAATGTGAGAAACTTGAGAACGCTGGTCAACCATGAAGTGATAAGAGGAGTTCCAAAACTGAAGGATGATGGAAAACTTGTTTGTGCTGCTTGCAATATGGGAAAACAAGTAAAAGTTCAGCATAAAAAGGTTCAAGATGTGCAATCTAAATCTGTTCTAGATCTTATTCACATGGACCTTATGGGGCCAATGCAAGTGGAAAGCATAGCTGGGAAGAAGTATGTTTTTGTACTTGTAGATGACTTCTCGCGATTTACATGGGTAAGATTTATTAGAGAAAAGTCTGAGACAATGGAGAGCTTCAAAATTTGGGCACTTCAATTAATAAACGAAAGAGGAAGAAGCATTAAACAGATTCGTAGTGATCATGGAGGAGAATTCCAGAATGACACTATGGTTAAATTCTGTGAAAATCAAGGAATTATGCATCAGTTTTCAGCTCCAAGGACTCCTCAACAAAATGGTGTAGTTGAGCGCAAAAACAGAACTCTTCAAGAAATGGCTCGAGCAATGATTCATGGGAACAACGTAGCTAACAGATTTTGGGCAGAAGCAATAAACACAGCTTGTTATATCATAACACAGAGTCTATGTCAGAAGAGGAACAGCTAAAACACCCTATGAGTTGTTGAAAGGGAAGACACCTACTGTTCACTATTTTCACATATTCGGGTGTGTATGCTATATCATGAACGATAAAGACCAGCTGGGAAAATTTGATTCTAGAAGTGATGAAGGAATCTTCTTGGGGTATTCTGGAAACAGCACAGCATACAGAGTTTTTAACAGAAGAACTCGAAAGATAGAAGAATCAATGAATGTTGTCTTTGATGATTTCTCACTTGCTAAAGAAGTGGTGCAAGACTCTAGTGAAGAAAATTCAAGTCAACAATCTCAAGAGTCTAAATCAAATTCACAGCAAAAGAGTTCAAAGGATTCACAGCTTAAGAGTTCAAAGGATTCAAAGCCTCAAAGTTCAAAGGATGAGAATTTACCAAAAGAAGTTAAGGATGACACAGATAATGAAGAAGGCATTGATGACAATGATGGTTCTACTATAAGTCAGGTGATTAAAGTACCAAAAAATCATTCCGCTGCTCAGATTATTGGAGATCCAAGTGATGGACGTCATACTAGAGGTGCCAAGCTAGATTTCAAGAAACCAGTATATGGTGATGCTAAAAAAAGTGATTCATTTTGCTTGTTTTGTATCTACCATCGAGCCTAAGAATCACAAAGAAGCACTTAGTGATGATTTCTGGATATTAGCTATGGAAGAAGAGTTAGAACAATTTATTAGAAACGCTGTTTGGGAACTAATTCCAAGACCACTAGATGTGAACGTTGTGGGGACAAAGTGGATTTTTAAAAACAAGACTGATGAAGAAGGAGTTGTCGTGAGAAACAAAGCACGTCTTGTAGCTCAAGGCTATTCACAAGAGGAAGGTATTGATTTCGATGAAACTTTTGCTCCAGTGGCTCGCTTAGAATCAATTCGTTTTCTGTTGGGAATGGCGTGCAACTTGGGTTTTAAGCTTCATCAAATGGATGTTAAAAGTGCATTTTTAAATGGAATTCTACAAGAAGAAGTATATGTGGAACAACCAAAGGGTTTTGAGGACTCTCAACATCCGGAGCATGTTTACAAATTACACAATGCCTTGTATGGCTTAAAGCAAGCTCCAAGGGCATGGTATGAAAGACTCACTGGATTTCTGTTAGAAGGAGGATTTGTAAGAGGAAGTGTTGACAAAACACTGTTTATTCTTGAAGATGGAGAAGATCTAATGCTGGTACAAATCTACGTAGATGATATAATCTTTGGAAGTACTTCACAGAATCTTGTGGATAAGTTTGTGAAGAATATGACAAGTGAATTCGAGATGAGTTTAGTTGGCGAGCTCAAGTACTTTCTCGGTTTGCAGATTATTCAAACAGAAGAAGGGATTTCTTTATCTCAAAGTACTTATGCTAAAAATCTAGTCAACCGATTTGGTCTTGATTCAAGCAAAGCAGCGAGAACTCCAATGAGCACTACAGCGAAGTTATCTAAGGATCTTGCCGAAGAAGATGTGGACGAAAAGCTTTACAGAGGGATGATTGGGAGTCTACTTTATCTTACAGCAAGTAGACCAGATTTGTGCTTAAGTGTTGGCCTATGTGCCCGTTATCAAGCAAAACCAAAACTATCTCACCTACATGCTGTGAAAAGAATCATCAAATATGTTAGAGGCACATTAAACTATGGTTTGCTCTATTCACGGGAGACAAACTGTAATCTTGCCGGCTATTGTGATGCAGATTGGGCAGGGTGTATGGATGACAGAAAAAGTACGAGTGGAGGCTGTTTTTTCTTAGGAAATAATCTAACTTCGTGGCATAGTAGGAAACAGAATTGTGTTTCGTTGTCTACAGCAGAAGCTGAATACATAGCTATGGGAAGTTGTTGTACTCAATTACTTTGGATGAGACAAATGGCTGAAGATTATGGAATTAAATCACGTCCCTTCCTAGTTCGATGTGACAACAAAAGTGCTATTGATATATCTAAGAATCCAGTTCAGCATTCAAGAACAAAGCACATTGATATAAGACATCACTTCATCAGAGAGTTAGTTGAGAATAAAGAAGTGGTGATTGAGCATGTTGGAACAAATTTTCAACTTGCAGATTTATTTACAAAACCTCTAGATTTCAATCAGTTTGTCAACTTAAGGCAAGCTATTGGTGTTTGTGAAATCTGATCTTAGCAGAAGAAGATGAGCTGAATAGAAGAGAAACTGACTTAGGAGAAATTGTATTTGGGGTTAGTCTACAGAAAGATGTCGTGCTTTTGGAGAAGAATTTTTTTTTTTTAAAAAAAATAAAATAAAAAATAAAAATAAAAAAATGTAAAAAAAAATGTTTTCAATGATCGTGTATCAGTTTTAGATGAAGATTTGATGTTTCAAAGATTTTCAGAAAAGCAGGAATCAAGTTGATGTTCTAAGAGAAGCAGTTCCTGGGCATAAAGCTATCGCTTACGGATGGAACAGCTTCAGAATTCATACAAGCCAGAATCAACATGGTAAGAAGAAACAGATGAGCTCCAGAGTTTATTCAAGCCAGCTCCAGAATTTTGGCTCTCGCAAAAAAAAAAAAAAAAAAAAAACAACAAGAAACAGGACAATGGAAGTGCATCAACAATAGGAATAGCTGCACAAAATTAATTTGGTTTTCAGAGGTCTCAGAATTTTCGGAAGATACAAAGACATCGGAGTTGCTTCAAATCACAAGGGGTGTACCTGAATTTATCGGAGTAGTCATGGCAGTTCAACGGAGAAGAAGACCCAAAACTACAGTTATTGTTGATCTCTGTGGGCAAATGACAAAAGGCAGAGAATCCGCAGGAAGCAAGCTATTGAATCCGCCTAGTTGGTGCTAATTGTGCAACAAGAGAATCAGAGGCAAAATAGAGAAATTGGTGTGAGAACAATTGGGGCAATAATGGTGGAAACTAGAGATTTGGAGATTGAAAAAGTTATCTTACAATGATGCAGATATTGACATCGGGACAGTGAAAGCTCACAAATGGATCATCAGAAAAGCTGCGACAACGGAGAAGAAAATTTTTTTCGGGTTGGGATTTCATGTCTCATAAATTTCAGAAGCTACAGAGATGATACAAGTCAAAATCGGTTACCTAAAATAACCAAAGAAAGAGAAGAGCCATCGAAGAAGATAACCCAAGGCAGTGATGGTGGTTGGTAAGTTTGAGAAAGGGGCTTCACGATTTAGGATTCAAGGACTTCAGTAATATAGGCCGAGAGCTCTGATAGGGATTTTCCATAGAAATTTCGCCAGAAACTGCAAATATTCCGGTGAATCAGAAATTTATTTTGTGAAAGAAAGCTTGGAAGAGAATCGTGAATCTCACTCACCTTGAGCTCAAGGTCGAGTGTCTGGAGGAAATCATGGCTGGAGAGCTTGACGGTGATCATAATTGTTTCTGGGTGGTGTTGATCTTGTCGATGCCGTGATACGATAAGGGGAAGAAGAAGCTTCTGATTTTAGTTGGTTCAATCCAAAAATTGGGTTTTAAGTGGGCTTCAGTTAAAACAGTTGGACTTCAGTTACAAATTTGGCGTTGGTAATTAGTTGGGCTTCAATTATTTCAGCCCATTTGGTAACAACAAAGCTAAACGTATGATCAAAAAAATCTTGGTGTTTGAGAAAGTCTCGGTAGATTGAGAAAGTTTTTAACTCATTTATGCATCCAAGCAGGGGGAGAAAGTTCAATCCAAAAATTGAGTCTGGTGTTTGGAGATTTTAGCATTAAGGGGGAGCTTAAAAATATTTTCAGCTTAAAGGAGATTGTTTTCTTCATAAGGCTTGGAAGATTCAAAATGAGTTAAAAATGGGGAGATTGAAGATGCAATATTTTTGTAGAGCTGCATAAACAAAACCTGCAAGAGAAAAGGAAATCAGTTAGAAGGATCAAAGCTTGTAAGCTTAAGGGAAAAAGGAAAATCAACAAAGAAAAGGAAATCACAAGATAATAACAAAAAGGAAATTGTTCTTATCTTAGGATTAGAAAATTGTAAAAGTCATTGAGTCTATGGTTATAAATAGATGTTCATGGCTTCTTTAGAAAATTAGAGATTAAGAATTTGAGTTTTCTAAAACTAAAGGTGTTTTGGGTTTTCTTGTAAGAGAATTCAATTAAGGGGGAGATTAGATTTTCTTTGAGAGAGAGACTTGTAAGTTCTCTAACATTGGTTTCTTGTAAGTTACCTTTGGGTTAATTCTAATTGACAACTTGTTTGAGAAATCTCTGTATTAAATACTATCTCTAGAAGTTCTTGCTTTTTCACTAAGGAGCTCTGCCTCCATTTCCTTTGGTTTTTTGTGTGACATCATTTTTCCATAGAGGCTGAGAGCTAGAGGGTTTCCACTAGAATATTGAATTACTGACATCAAGTCAGGTGCAAGATTTTCCAAGCCATGTTTTTTTCTCCAATCTATCCCAAATGCGCATCTGAAGAATAGTTGCTTGGCCTCATCTTCGTTTAAACCTTTGACCTCATATATTTGATCAATGCCACATTGCAAGAATACTTGTTTATCTCTAGATGTTATGATTATTAGGTTTCCTGGACCAACCCAATCAAACCCATTCAGAAAACCATCTGCATCCAGAGGTTTGCACACATTGTCTAGGATGATAAGAACTCTTTTGGGTTCTGGTATTGTGAAAGAATTGTGTATGTCAAGCTCTTCCTGGAGAGTTTCGCCTACGTACTCTTTCAGCAAATGATAAAGACCTTTCGCATGATACTCTTTGTCGAAATCTTTGATGAAGTAAGAAACTTCGTAATCACCAGAGAACTGGTCAAATGCTGCTTTAGCAAGTGTCGTTTTGCCTATGCCTGGCATTCCCCAAATTCCTATGCTGCGGACACCCCACAGTTGCTTGCAAAGAAAGTTTTCCAACTTTAGTAGCCTCGGGTAGATTCCAATTCGTTTGGTAGGAAACATCTGTTCATACACATCCCTAGCAACCTCTTCCACAAGTTCAGAGTCACCACAATCCTTCCTGCTTGAGATCAACACAGTTATTAAAGTTATACATTCGGTAAATATAATAGATGCATCTTATTAATATATCTTTATATAAAGTTTGAAAATCAAAATTATTATTTAACATGAATAACACGTGCCAAAAGTTGATCAACTAAATTTCAATACTTGTAAAAAACTTCTATCACGTAAGTTTTGACATGTATCAAAAGAATTTCAAAAACCCCAAAAAAATAACAATGTAAAGATTCTATTTACACTTCTCACACCAAAATAAAAACTTATAACTGAAATTATATATTATATCATTGTATTATGAGTTTTTATTCTTTAGGTTTGCCATTAATTTTGTTTCTCATGAAAAAATTGCAAAATTGATATTTGAGTAAAATTTATAAAAATTTCATGTTACATTGTAAAATTAGTTGAAAATTATAAACTACAAGTTTCATTTTTGATCTAAAAAGTATTATATGCAGATTTTAAGAACGTAGAAATATGATAAACAATTCATCAAAATTTTTTAAAAAGAGATATATGAATAGCTAAAAATAATAAAAATAAATCTGATTTAACTAAATATAGAAAAAAAAAGCTAAAGATTTAAAAAGACATAGTAAAACTAAATTGAAAATCAGAAAAAAAAAATCGAATTATATGCTTTTATAAATAGTTTTACATCACTCTTTCAATCTTATTTTATTTATATTTAAATATATCTATTTTGTTTATATTTTTTCTATTTTTTTTAACATGAAATTGTTTGGTCTACTTTTATTGTGTCGTATCAGCGAACAACGTCAGTAGTAGAACTAATCAAAATGATGAATTTGACATCTAAGTTTGTCACTAACTCTCAAATAAATTATTAATGGACAGTTAGCAAATTTTTCAACGCGTAAGCATGCTGCGCTAACGTACCTGCTCTTTCTGACTGTGTATAAAAGGAGAGGAGGCGGTCAACAAAAAAGAAAAGAAAAGAGGGAGAGAAAAGGCCAAACCCAGAGAGAGGATGAATCCAGAAGAAGGCCGAATGGAGAGATACATAGGAGAAGAGAGCAGAAAGCCACAGAGAAAAAGTGATCCAAACAATGAAAGTCTCACTAAAGCCTAATTAGACAGCCGGACTAAGCATCAGGACTGAAGGGAAAGCCGTCAATGCTTCCCGGAAGGAACGCTAACTGAGAGAAGCGTTCTCATCTCCCTAACTCTTTATTTTATCCACCATCAAGAGAGAGCTCTAACCCAACTCTCTCAATGGTCCATTTACCTTAAACTCCACCATTTACCAAATAGCATACGAGTATCATGATCCTCGAATAGGATATCTAAACCGTAAACACTCATATCCTATCCTCCGGATTATCCATTTCCGCTAAGACGTTATTTAACTTGAGCATCGGAGAACCTTTGGGAGGAAAACCTTTTTCTGGTCTTCCGCAAGCCCAATTCACCAATTATGAATATTTTCAGGACCCAATCAATTTTTCGCCTAGGGACCGCATACCGCTCATCAAAGGAAGAATGCAGATTGCTCATCTCACCAATTCGGACAAACACACATCCCTGTAAGCAACCCGTAATTTTCTCCCAAACAATTAGCACTAGAATGAGGGAGTAGAACGGTATGCTATCCAACAGGTAAAATAGTTGACAGTGCGGTGAAGTAACAAACTGTCGGTATGGTCCACAACCCACGAAGACTGAAAAAAACGGAGCCGACCAGGAGGCTCCGTGCGAGTAAGCCAGAAGACGGAGGAGACCCCCGCTCCAGAAGCGAAGTCGACGTGTCAGTCAGAGCTGCCACCCTCAGACTGACTCATTCCAAGATCTTCACCCTCTCGATGGTGTCTAAGAAGACCAAGTCGACCCTCCAAAGTGCGAGTGTTTAGCCGGTCAAGAACTTCCAGGTTTAGGCGCACGTTAGAGGTCGTCACCCAGTCATCTCCTTAACTCTTTATTTTATCCACCATCAAGAGAGAGCTCTAACCCAACTCTCTCAATGGTCCATTTACCTTAAACACCACCATTTACCAAATAGCATACGAGTATCATGATCCTCGAATAGGATATCTAAACCGTAAACACAATACGAGTATCATGATCCTCGAATAGGATATCTAAACCGTAAACACTCATATCCTATCCTCCGGATTATCCATTTCCGCTAAGACGTTATTTAACTTGAGCATCGGAGAACCTTTGGGAGGAAAACCTTTTTCTGGTCTTCCGCAAGCCCAATTCACCCATTATGAATATTTTCAGGACCCAATCAATTTTTCGCCTAGGGACCGCATACCGCTCATCAAAGGAAGAATGCAGATTGCTCATCTCACCAATTCGGACAAACACACATCCCTGTAAGCAACCCGTAATTTTCTCCCAAACAATTAGCACTAGAATGAGGGAGTAGAACGGTATGCTATCCAACAGGTAAAATAGTTGACAGTGCGGTGAAGTAACAAACTGTCGGTATGGTCCACAACCCACGAAGACTGAAAAAAACGGAGCCGACCAGGAGGCTCCGTGCGAGTAAGCCAGAAGACGGAGGAGACCCCCGCTCCAGAAGCGAAGTCGACGTGTCAGTCAGAGCTGCCACCCTCAGACTGACTCATTCCAAGATCTTCACCCTCTCGATGGTGTCTAAGAAGACCAAATCGACCCTCCAAAGTGCGAGTGTTTAGCCGGTCAAGAACTTCCAGGTTTAGGCGCACGTTAGAGGTCGTCACCCAGTCATCTCCTTAGCTCTTTATTTTATCCACCATCAAGAGAGAGCCCTAACCCAACACTCTCAATGGTCCATTTACCTTAAACTCCACCATTTACCAAATAGCATACGAGTATCATGATCCTCGAATAGGATATCTAAACCGTAAACACAATACGAGTATCATGATCCTCGTATAGGATATCTAAACCGTAAACACTCATATCCTATCCTCCGGATTATCCATTTCCGCTAAGACGTTATTTAACTTGAGCATCGGAGAACCTTTGGGAGGAAAACCTTTTTCTGGTCTTCCGCAAGCCCAATTCACCCATTATGAATATTTTCAGGACCCAATCAATTTTTCGCCTAGGGACCGCATACCGCTCACCAAAGAAAGAATGCAGATTGCTCATCTCACCAATTCGGACAAACACACATCCCTGTAAGCAACCCGTAATTTTCTCCCAAACAATTAGCACTAGAATGAGGGAGTAGAACGGTATGCTATCCAACAGATAAAATAGTTGACAGTGCGGTGAAGTAACAAACTGTCGGTATGGTCCACAACCCACGAAGACTGAAAAAAACAGAGCCGACCAGGAGTCTCCGTGCGAGTAAGCCAGAAGACGGAGGAGACCCCCGCTCCAGAAGCGAAGTCGACGTGCCAGTCAGAGCTGCCACCCTCAGACTGACTCATTCCAAGATCTTCACCCTCTCGCTGGTGTCTAAGAAGACCAAATCGACCCTCCAAAGTGCGAGTGGTTAGCCGGTCAAGAACTTCCAGGTTTAGGCGCACGTTAGAGGTCGTCACCCAGTCATCTCCCTAACTCTTTATTTTATCCACCATCAAGAGAGAGCTCTAACCCAACTCTCTCAATGGTCCATTTACCTTAAACTCCACCATTTACCAAATAACATACGAGTATCATGATCCTCAAATAGGATATCTAAACCGTAAACACTCATATCCTATCCTCCGGATTATCCATTTCCGCTAAGACGTTATTTAACTTGAGCATCGGAGAACCTTTGGGAGGAAAACCTTTTTCTGGTCTTCCGCAAGCCCAATTCACCCATTATGAATATTTTCAGGACCCAATCAATTTTTCGCCTAGGGACCGCATACCGCTCACCAAAGGAAGAATGCAGATTGCTCATCTCACCAATTCGGACAAACACACATCCCTGTAAGCAACCCGTAATTTTCTCCCAAACAATTAACACTAGAATGAGGGAGTAGAACGGTATGCTATCCAACAGATAAAATAGTTGACAGTGCGGTGAAGTAACAAACTGTCGGTATGGTCCTCAACCCACGAAGACTGAAAAAAACAGAGCCGACCAGGAGGCTCCGTGCGAGTAAGCCAGAAGACGGAGGAGACCCCTGCTCCAGAAGCGAAGTCGACGTGCCAGTCAGAGCTGCCACCCTCAGACTGACTCATTCCAAGATCTTCACCCTCTCGCTGGTGTCTAAGAAGATCAAATCGACCCTCCAAAGTGCGAGTGTTTAGCCGGTCAAGAACTTCCAGGTTTAGATGCACGTTAGAGGTCGTCACCCAGTCATCTCCCTAACTCTTTATTTTATCCACCATCAAGAGAGAGCTCTAACCCAACTCTCTCAATGGTCCATTTACCTTAAACTCCACCATTTACCAAATAACATACGAGTATCATGATCCTCGAATAGGATATCTAAACCGTAAACACTCATATCCTATCCTCCGGATTATCCATTTCCGCTAAGACGTTATTTAACTTGAGCATCGAAGAACCTTTGGGAGGAAAACCTTTTTCTGGTCTTTCGCAAGCCCAATTCACCCATTATGAATATTTTCAGGACCCAATCAATTTTTCGCCTAGGGACCGCATACCGCTCACCAAAGGAAGAATGCAGATTGCTCATCTCACCAATTCGGACAAACACACATCCCTGTAAGCAACCCGTAATTTTCTCCCAAACAATTAACACTAGAATGAGGGAGTAGAACGGTATGCTATCCAACAGATAAAATAGTTGACAGTGCGGTGAAGTAACAAATTGTCGGTATGGTCCACAACCCACGAAGACTGAAAAAAATGGAGCCGACCAGGAGGCTCCGTGCGTGTAAGCCAGAAGACGGAGGAGACCCCCGCTCCAGAAGCGAAGTCGACGTGCCAGTCATAGCTGCCACCCTCAGACTGACTCATTCCAAGATCTTCACCCTCTCGCTGGTGTCTAAGAAGACCAAATCGACCCTCCAAAGTGCGAGTGTTTAGCTGGTCAAGAACTTCCAGGTTTAGACGCACGTTAGAGGTCGTCACCCAGTCAAAATGGAGCCCCCCCCCACTAAGTGAGAAGGACAGCCGTAGCCGGAGAAGGTTGTTAGATCTCTTGTAGTCCCTGGCACCAGGGGCAAGAAGGTCCCAAAGGGCCGTATTGCGGCTTGCTCCTTTTCTGAAACTGCAACTTGGTAGGTGAATATGTCCTTGTTAGAAGTTGGTTAACAGGCAGTCGAGAGCATTTCAGTTTGTCACCTTCGAGCCAAAGAAGTTAGGCTATCGCTAAGAATAATACATGTAGAAAGAATAGACAGTGAAAGTGCAGCTTACACCCTCGGCAAAACGTGGAACAGAACCGAATCTTCGAATAAAAAGTTTTCACAGTTGAGAAAGATGTTCTTCAAAATATACATATAAAAGGAGTGATAGTAACAAAGTCGGTGTTATAAGACAAAGGGGCAAATCCCGTAGGCACCAAAGACCCAACAAGTCAAGAGATGGGGCACGTGGACGGACTGGCTGCAGATCTCGAGGGGTCACCATTGGGGCTCCAAGGTGCACGGAAAGCTCTGATCCCACTCAAGCCTTCTCGGCACTACTTTTCATCTAGTTTCTGTTAGAGCCTGGTCAGTTCAGCTTGGTTTACCATCAGCACCTGGACGGCCACCAATACGGCACTAGTTTTTGTATTCCGACCAAAGCCTCGCAGCACCACGATCGTGTCGCAGAGGAGGCAGATCTCCTAGTCGGGATTAGACAGGTCGCAACAGCTGTTGTCCAGATCCACCTTGAGACAGGCCACCTCATCCCAGCTCCTCCCCACCCCCTCCCCCCAGGTTGAAGGACTATGATTCAGCGATCAAGTCCTAGAACGATATCAACTCGGCCTGTAGTTCACTGGCCCGATCAGATAGGCTGCACTCATGAGATTCAAGCTCATTTCCAGTAGCGATAATGCCTTGAAACCCTGCAAAATACAAGGAAGGTCAAGGCTCCATCATCTCGAGGAAGCCAAAACCGCATAAGCCAGAGCAAACATACCTCTCCCTAGGAACCATGAAGCTGAGTGGCGGTCCAGCGCTACCTTGGAGAAGGCGGATCCAGTTAACCAGAGGGAGCAGCCCGCAGCAGAGTACGCACAGTCTCTGGTGTCACCTCCCTCACTGGGAAGAACCTGATTTTGAGTCGCGGATAAATCGAATGGTGAGCAGTAACGCGCAGAAGAAGGGCTAACCCACGAGGAGGGTCAGTAGGCAGATAATCTCTCCACAAACCCGGTAATTTGGACATTCAGCGGCAGCCCATCAGGGGCGTAGACACCAAATAAGGTCTCCAGCCAAGACACCAAACCTCTAATACTACATTCGGTCACAACGTGAAAAGGTGCAAGTCACAAGAAAGTTGTAACAAAAACGGAAAAACGTACCCAAAATGCCCAGCAATGCACCGTGGGGAAGCACCAGCAAACTTTGCGGATGCAGAACGACAACAACAGGAAGTCGGAGGCCATGAACCTCTCATCCAGCACAAACAATTGCTCCAAGATTGACCGGTTACTGGACCACGGAGCCCTGATAACTACATCTGAACAGTCAAGAGTTAAAAGCAAGGAACATCTGAAGGGGGAAAATCATCTTATGAACAACACTTATCTCGGACACGCCTGGACAAGATCGACCATTCAGAAGAAGTACTGTTCTTTCCAGTTGCGACTCCCTGACCAATCCCCGAAGATCAGCGAGGTGGTCACCCCGAGTATGTAACATTTTACGCAGGTGGTCAGCGGAGATGCGCTGCAACCGGTACAACACCAGCACCACGGAACCCCAGACTGGGATCCCCGACAAGTCCAATAAGATCTGGTACGCATTAAGTAACCCTCACGCAAACATATGTAGCTGGCTAGAGTTGATACCGGGACAACGATAGAAATCAACAAGCACCTGGGAGGAGTAATCCCTCAAGTCGTAGATATTATACATGTCGCTTATAGTAAAGTAATGGGCGGCAGACGGTCCGCCCGGTCTTACCGAATAGGGAAGAGAGGATTAAGAGAGCACAAGGGGGATTAGCGATTGAGGTGAACCTTTTTAAGCTGGCCGATGTACACACCAAAGGGGATCGATCCAGCTTCTCGACCCTTTTAGAAGTACGTGCAATATTCTCAGAGTTATCCCTCGACCAGGAAAATGAGCCATAGTCAGATTCGAAAGACAAACTATGCGATGATGATGACATCACGGTGAATGTTGAGTACAAGTACTATATATGGACAAGGACGAAGGTAGAAAGGTGAAAATCAAAAAGAAAAATCGCGGAGATCCACTTTGGAAAATATAGATAGAAACAAAAATCGAAACCGTGCACGAAGACATCATGATCATTCAGAAATAACGGAAGAGTTCAAGGACCACTTTAGAAAATATTTAGCCCTCGAGCTGTGCATCGGAAAAGACATGTCATTATGAAGACGGAGGCAAACTTTCCCTCCGTGATGGTGATAGATGAAACAGTGTGAGAAGCAAGGAAAATAGTGCGACGCTACATTCCATGCAGTGAGGGAACAAAATCTGGAACAAAATCTGCCACATGGCATGCTGCGCCGAAGGACAGAGAGTACCCAAGAAGCCGTAGCAGAATCCTGCTCGGGTGAGAAATATTATCCCGATCGATCATGCCATGACACTGGACCCGAAGGACAGCAAGGGATCACCAAATTTCTCGGAGCATCACCAAGAAATCACCTTCAACCTAAGCATGTCATAATGCAATGGTATAACCCTCTAAACTTTATAGAAGTGGTTATCCCACTGAGGAGGTTTTTGCCAGCATGGACAACCGTTGCAAGCTAGTCGGTCCTCTTTTCCCAGTGCGTACATATTGGCTTAACTCTCCATTTGCATGATTAAATGTATCCATGTTTCTTTGATTTCTTACTTGCATGATTGTATGATTTCTTGGCATGACCTTCCATCAAAACCTTTTGTTTGAATTTTAGACAACATGCTCCCCCACGAATTTGCTTGTCCTCAGAGGCACCATTCCTCCAAAAATTGGGACTCTGGTCTTGCAGGCCTTTAGGTCTTTCTCGCCAGCTTCCTCCAGGGACCGCATGACCCCTGAGCATGCTCCTTCCAGGGACATGCTTGCCTTCCAGGGCACCACTGGGAATTAAGATTGCGTCTTTCGAGAGCTTCTTTTCCCAAACACTTTGGTCTCTCCCTCTCGGGAAGATCTAATCACAACTCTTAAAACCATGAAACTTTCCACGTAAGCACGACACAAAGACTGTTCTAGCAGTAAGGAAGTTATGGTACCGCCTCCGGAAAATGCCCTATTTTTAGCTACCAGTGTACGGGACAATCTTTAATCCATCTCAAAGCACCATCTGTTGTTCTTGGGCAGATGTCTCAAACCACGTCGCAGTCTTATGTCGATCTCCATGGTCACATAAAGTTCTAACTTTCTCATAAGCCAATGGGGAAGGAAGGCGGCTCCTTGCCTAGTGCCTCACGAAGCAAGGAGTAAAATCCCTTAAAAAAAATTCCTCACCAAAAATCTAACGTTTTCTATGGAAACCTAACTTCCTCCTATCATGGGCAAGTGTGTATTCTTTCGGGATGCATGCCCGAGCTGGGGTAGAACCCATCTAACTGTTTGTTCGAAAACCTAACACTTTTCTACCTTGGCTAAGATCATACTCTACCGGGATGCGTAGCAAAGTTGGAGGTGGATCACTTTAATGCGGCATCGCACTTTCCAAAACCTTCAGGTATCATAAAAAAGAAATCTTGGATTATTTTGCAGGTACAGCAAAAGGGTCAACTCACCGACTCATTTGCAATCACTCGAAAATTTGAGGGCAATTGTTGGACTCACTTTTACCGTGCTCTATCAGCGAAGAGCACGTCAACAGTAGGACCAGCCAAAATGATAAGCTCGACATCTTAGACAGTTAGCAAGCTTTCCAATGCGTGACCGTGCTGTGGTAGCATACCTGCTCCTTCTGAGCGCCTCTTAGATGAGACGGGCCAGAGGGAAAGTCGTATAAAGAGGGAGGAGGCGGTCAACAGAAAAGAGAGGAAAAGAGGGAGAGAAAGGGCCGAATCCAGAAGAATGCCAAATAGAGAGATTCAGAGGAGAGAAGAGCAAAAAGCCAAGGAGAAGAGGCGATCCAAACAATGAAAGTCTCACCAGAACCCAACCAGACAGCTGGACTAAGCAACGGGAATGAAGGGAAAGTCATCAATGCTCCCCAGAAGAAACGCCAACTGAGATAAGCGTTTTCTTCTTCTCTAAATTTTTGTTTTACCTACCATCGAGAGCGAGCTCCAACCCAACTCTCTCAATGGTCAATTTACCTTATAGCAGATAGATATCACGATCCTCAGACAAAGTATCAACACTGTAACTATCACTATCTATTCATCTTCCCGATTATCCATTCCCGATATGACATAATCTACCTTAACCGTCGAAGAACCTGCGAAAAAAACTCCTTTTCAATCTTTTGAAAGTCCTGCTCACCGTTATAAATGTTTACAGGATCCAATCAATTTCTCGTCTAAGGACCGCATACTACTATCCCTCATAAGACGAATTCATAAAGTTTAATTCACCAACCAAACAAACATACCCTATAAACAATCCATAATCTGTTTCCAAATAGAAATATTAAATTAAAACCCCGTATGTACAGTAAATTACAACTATTAGATTAAATAATTGCAACCAACTCTTTTCAATTTAAAAAGTCAACTATGGTAAAAATAAAATAAATTGTAATTTCAGTAAGAATATAATAAACAGTTAAAAAGGTATTACCAAAAATAAATCTTTCTACTTTCTACAGTTACCTTGGTTTATAATTATACGAGTCGGTCATTTTCTTCAAAGCGCTAACCCATCGGGCTAATCGCTCGGGTGAGTAAATCTCATGCGGAAATGTATCTCTCAATATGTTCAACCGCGATTTATGAACAACTTCTGGTTGAGTTATGCAGTAAAACACCGGGACCACCACGTTTTGGTTATTCCGTTGGCAATCATCAATCTCCGCAAGCTCATCCAGGCATTCTGCAGATAACACATACTTCTCGGAGATAACCACCACAAAGGCCTTGAAGTTGTGTTTCTCTATGTTAGTCTCTTTGGAGGAGTTATCATCAAACGAAGAAGACGAAACCATCAGGCCTTTCCGGCGAAGAGAGGCAGAGAGATGGCTAATAAAGGAGTACCGTATTGTGTCTTCACCTTTGTGGAAGCTGCTGTAGACCATGTCTCTCATTGAATTTGTGTCACCGGCCATGATTGTGAGTATGAAAGGAGCAGAAGAAAGAAGTTGTAACAAAACTTTGTTCAACTTTGTTTGATTTTTCTGTGTATACAGAGAAGTTGGTCATCCATTGTGGAACGGAAGCACCGTTGACAAATATTGGAAAAACGAAGAAGCAAAGAGCCAAAACATAAACAATAAAGCAACAATCGTCATAAATCTAATTTTATTTCATGAAAGAAGATACGATACACTTATTTAACATGTTGATATTGACATAACTCCTACATATAAAAAGTGACCTCATTTCGATAAAAAGGTCTAAAACCCATTAAAAATAGTAAGTCTATATACGTGTGATGAGAGAGATACGGCAACAATTAGATATGTCACAATGACATAGGGACAATTGAAAATATTGAATAAATTTCTCGGTCAACGGTCTTCTGAGTTCTAAGATTAATTGGGATTTGGAAGTCCATAAATTAATAATAGAATCATTTATGTAAATAGCTTATTTAGTAATTTTATTGTAAGACATAACCTTTTTTAAAATGACTTATAAGAAAAGTTTATTAATGTACTTTTAATCTACTGTAAATTTGTTATTATTAATTTGCATAGTTAGTTTGCATTTCATTTATGTTTAATTATATGGTTAGTCAGTTTACCAGTAGTTTGTTATCTATCTATTTTAGTAAAAAAAATTTTTTTTTCAAAAATAACTTTGATATATTGTTACTTGTCATCTAAGAAACTGATATATATTATTTTTCTATTGAACTAATATAAAAACAAAAGTTTATGTTTGTTTTTCATTCTCCAAACAATTATTTTTCATCCAACAAACATACACGATAACCAAGCCACCTTACAAAGTACAAATCTTATTTAATATAGTAGTGTTAATTGTCTTATTTTTCTCTCTTTTTGTTTTCCTATCTCTTCTATATTCTCTTTCATCGAACAATTACAAAAACACCGTTCATTTTTTTCCCCTTCTCAACTAGATTATCTTTCATCATGTCTCATATTACATTATTTTAGAAGATTTTTCAACTTTTAAGAGCTGACTATGTCAATGTGTATGTGCAAAAATAGACTTATTTCTTCATGTTTTCTTTGTGGCCAATCAAACAGAAAATCATGCACTGTTTGTTATCATGATATATGTTTACATTAATGCCTCATTACTTTTTTCTCTACTGCATCAAACCTTAAACCGGCACCATTATCACAACATGGATTATACTCTGCAGGACCTTCTTTTCAGTCATCCGTGATGGCATCACTCCCCTAACATGGTTAAACCTAACATTATTATTTCACCAATCTTTTAATACAATTTTTTTAAATAATGACATGATATATACAACTTAAAAACTACTATTTACCGACAAAACTTTACAAACAAATATAATAAAATAAATTATAATATTAAAATAGTTAAAATATCTCAGATCCGCGCAACTCGCGGACTTTCTTCAAGTTAATATATATATAAATGTAGTTACAAAATTGCATTAATATTTATGATATATTTTATAAAATATTCATTCTTATAACTTTCTTTAGTTTAATACTCATTCCACATTACTTTTTTTATGAATTATTTTGAAACATTTTCTCTTCACTGTTAGAGATGAGATTCATACCGTCTCTAACAAGCCCGATATGAATTCTGGTTGGCCCGTCTAGCAAGTTCCAAGTCGGTATTCTAAATGGAAATCTTCCATTTATCGAGCGACCCGGAAAAAAAAAGAAATTCTTCTTGTCGGCCAGAATACTTTCCTATTCTAAACACGTTAAAGATCGACCTGGTCAGCTATAAATATAGGAAGTCTCCGACTCCTCAAATCATCCGAAAATCATTGATCAAGACCTAGAGCAAACTAAGCAATCAGATTGTTCTAGCTTTTGATTTACTTTCCTTAAAAGTTTTAGGTCGGCGTTCTTATTTCGACTACCTAAACACCGTTGTATTCTATCAAGCTCTGGCTTCTTCTAATAAAAGATCTCTCTTTGAACCTACAAACCCTAGTTCTTCTATAAGCCGAACTTGAGTTTTTACAGTTGGCGCCGTCTGAGGGGAATAAGAGCAATCTTTAACTTAGAACGGAGTTTGAAGATGGTTGAAACACCGATCAACATTACCGACCTCACAGGAGGAGCCTCCGATCCGACAAGAAACACTCAGGATCCGATCGTCGACCCAGCCACCGGGCTTCCAGTGGTCCACCAGACCGATCAGGAAGACAACACAACTACCGCGCAGAACATCGGTGGGACAGATCAGGTCGGCCAGACGGGTAGCGCAAACACGACCGGACTGCCACAGCCACCTCCCATCGACATGGCCACCATCATCAGGTCGGTCGCAGCACAGTTGCAACAGGGGATGGATGCTCGCTTCGAATCCCTCCGTGCCGAGCAGATCGCTTACAGAGAAGACCTAGATCGGCTTCTCAACTCTAGGGTTCATACCAAGGAGCAAGCCGATCTAATCTGTGGTAACCCAACCCGGTAAACCATACCGCGGCTGTGTCCCACTACATCCTCTAAGTCCGTTTCTATACTTAGCCATATTTTTAAACTTTTTCTTTAAACTTATTCTTTCTTATCAATACACAGCGGAATATAAAGCAACTCATTTCATTCATTTAACTTTCATAAAACATTTAAACATGATTCGGGGCTAACTTAAACAAATCACAATGGTTCGCTAAAGATTACAACTTATCATCTAGCAACCTAACGATCAAACACCAAAGCCATAAGACTCTAAACACAAGTCTTAAACATAAATAAAACCCAGTCCCGATCCATCCATATCCATCACTGCCGCCTGGTCTCGCCCCTTTATTGCTTAGTACCTGCACACTCAAGATGAGAGGCATAAGTATTTCATAAATACTTAGTGAGTACGGTCATCCCGTAACACCTGGTCAGTACCAAACACGCAATCATACTTTCGCAATAGACATAACAATATCAAACGGCCATGATCATCTAGCCTAACCAACCAAGATTAATCCCTTTTTAAGACTCATGTCTACTTCAGCGAGAATCCCACATCCCCTAAGCTAGTACATGATCCAGATTACCCTGAGGTTAGCTAAACATCATATATGCCACGGTAAACACCACAATACCTCACAACATAAAGATTGCTTATCAGTTCTAAACACATAACATGAAAATCACACAATCAACATGCAAACATTCAACCCTAGCAATCCTACGGTCCTAGACACCAACCACAGTCACGCACTCACCTTAGACAAGGCTGGAAACAGATTGGTCAGAAGAAATCCCGATGAAAACCGCACCAAAACGAAGATATCCGATCTCCCTAAGAATCTCTCGGCTCACGGTACGATCCGATCCTTATCCCCTCGGCTATCTCTTGATCCGTTCACCTTTCTTCGAGCCAAACTCTGTTTTCCCTCAGAAACCCCACAAAACAAGGCTATTAGCTCGAGGTTATCCGATGAAAACTCAACACTTAGGGAAATATCCGATCGCTTACCAGTTTATCTCGGCGATGGTCGGTTCTGCTCGGCGATAGCCTGATCTCTCTCGGATATCCTCGGGATAAACTGTTTTTCTTAAGGTTTTCTCTCGACTATTCTTTTTCTTTGCTTTATTGCTCTCGAATAAACACAACTCTCCCGAGAAGAGTCTCAAAATCCCTTAAATACTCACAAAACCCTAGGTAACCCGGACTTATCCGACGTTTTCCTGGTTCCAGTATGTTTTATCCCGGTCCGATTCGATTCTCTCGGCTATTCCCTGTACCGGCTTGACTATTCCCTCGATAAACCACAAAATAGCCGACCAAACACTTGGCCCACGGCCCAAATCACTTCCCACTCGGATAAACCGCCTTTATCCGAGGTGTTTTCCATTTTCCATCTGGATATTCCTTTCCTCTCGGACAACTCGTCCTGCCTCGGCCAATCCTCTATTTCTCTCGGAGGTTTCCTTTTCCCCCTCGGAGACAGTCCACTGACACTCGGACTAACCTCCCAGACTCTCGGATATATCCCACTGTACTCGGATAAATCCCATTTCCCTCGGACTGGACCCTGTTTTCCCTCGGATATCCAGCCCACATCCGACTATTTCACCGGTCAACACCCGACCATAGTCCGAACCTCCATTTCCCAGCCAATACTCGACCCTTGGCTCGATCATTCCTCGGACACTGCCCTGTCTGGTACGATCATTCCACATTTTCTCGGATACGGATGCTACAACTCTCCCCCACCCGTTCTGGTTTCGTCCTCGAATCCGACTCATCCGTTTGCAACTTGTCAAACCATTTGGCATACTCATCTTTCATCCTAGCCTCATTTTCCCAAGTAACCTGTTCATGCCCGTCGCAGTCCCATACGACCTGAACCATTCTGACCAGCTTCCCACGCTTAGTCTCTTCTTTCCGATCTAACACTCGAACCGGCCTAGCCACTACTGCAAGGTCCTCTTGCAAGTCTGCTGGCGGCTCCTCTATAACCGTTTCCCATTCGGTAATGTGCTTTCTCAGTTGTGACACATGAAATACATTATGGAACGCTCCCATTTCTGATGGCAAGTCCAATTTGTAAGCCACTGCGCCAACTTTTTCCAGTATCCGGTATGGCCCGATGTACCTCGGATTCAACTTGGCACTCTTAGCTGTCCTATCTGTTTCCTTATAAGTTAGTGCCTTAAGATAAACCATATCACCCACACTGAACTCCAATTCCCTGTGATGCTTGTCCGCATAACTTTTCTGCCTGTCCATAGCCTCTTTCAGCTTAATCTTTAACAATCTGATCTTTTCTGTAGTAGCCTCGACCACTGCTGGCCCCATTACGCTATGCTCCCCCACTTGTGTCCAACACAATGGTGTCCTGCACGGCCTGCCATACAACGCCTCGTACGGAGACATCTCAATGCTCCTTTGGTAACTATTGTTGTATGCAAATTCAGCCAACGGTAAGTAGTCTTCCCAACTACCGCCCCAGTCCAGTACACACACTCTCAACATA